GAATTATTGATAGAACAGCGCGATTATCTACATAAATAATCGATTTTTTATTAATCGAATCTCGATTTTCAAAAAAAAAAAGAAATAATTTGTTCACCCCTATTAGGGCTGGGCGATTTTCCAAACAAATAAACGATTGTTTTTAATAATCGATTATATTCGACTGATCGATTTTCCAATTATTCGATTATTTTCGATTAATCAAGCATTTAATTAATAGATTATTTTTGCTTTATCGATTATTTTTTCCATTTCCATTAATCAATTATTAACAAATAATCAATAGAATATGGTTTATTTTTAATTAATAGATTATTTTAGAATTTTCAAATAATCGATTATTTTTTTTTATCCGATTTTCTATTATTCTAAAAAAAATATCTTATTCAAGTAATTGACAAATGGATTATTTTGTCTACCCCTATTCGCAATGTGAAACATATTTTAGGCATTTTTTTCTCGTAATTTTTGACGTTATTTTATGCAGGATTTACCATTAAAGAAATATTTTAATGATTGAATGTTGTAAAAGTTTTGAGAGTAAAATTATTCAATGGTGGGTGGCTAAATATGTTTTGAAGTGCCGCCTCATTTAAGTGTTAGGGGTTCTAGAAGTCCGAGGGGTTTAAGTTTTGTGCAAATCTAAGTTAAAAATCTTTGATTATTGTTGTGCCAGTATGGCAGTATGATTGAGGGCTAGAGGTGTTAGGGGTTCTGAAGATGGACCAGAGTGATAACAAGAGGGGCTGAAATGTGAAAAGAGTTGTGATGTAAAATTACAAAAGTTGTAAACAAATAACGACCCACTTTAATTTTGAAAATGTTTAGAACAATCTATACTTTTGACTCAATCCATCCTGGTGAACCTGTTTCTAAAATACTTTACAATAACAAATATTTCAAAATAACGAAATAATCGTTAAAAAAAAACTATAGTTTTCATTTAAACAAGGATTTTTGTGAAATATGCTATAATTTACTTATCAACGGTAATAACTAAACATATTTCAGTCTATTCTAAATATATTTTCGAATAATTTAACATAACGTAAAGTAAGAACATCGTAAAATTTAATAACTAATTTTGTTCATTATGTATCACTACTAAAATTGAAAAACATTGAGCTAGTTATACAGTTCGCAGCATATAGAAATTTGTATTTATTTTACGAAAAAAAAAGTTGTTCTTCATATGAAAAATTTAAAATATATTTGTTCAGTCGCATGCCATGTTTGTCAAAAAGTGCAAGAGTTAAAGTACCTCTATTTTTGACAATAGGGTCGATTAATCTTACTATGAAACTTTCTACAGTAATCATATCTATTAAGTTATAACAATATGGTTGTTTAAATTTGTATTCTGTTTTGACCGTTATAATAATATTGGTTATTAGTTTTGTTCATAGCAATATTATTATGATTGTGAAATAAAATGCACATTTTTAAAGTTGTCGCTACTGTAAACTGAATTATAATACTATCCCTATTCACCCCTTTACGAATGAACTTTAACCCCAGAAGGTGAGCTTGCGTGATGTAAGCACAGCTAGCATTATTATTTGCTGGGGCTTCGGGTCCCATTTTTGTTACAGGTGAGGATAATCCCCTACCATCAGAAGAAGAAGTATCTAGTTTCTGGTTGGGGTACCGTTACAATGCGAGCCTAACTTATGTCAAAGGAAATGAAGAAACTAGTAAAAATTAAAATTAAAAGAAGAAATACTGGAATAGATAAAGAGTCAAGGTAACAAACTAAACTTCCACAGATGGACTGCATTATGTAAGTTACATGCGAGACAAAGATGGACACATTTTACATAAAGAGAAGAGAATGGTAGAAATATGAATCCAAAGTATAAATCTCTTAAGAGTTTGAAGTATAAGAATAGATTCTGCCATGAAATCACCGAAGATAAACGTCCATTGATATTTTAATAGTTCTGGACTGAAATGAGATCAGAAAAAAATATATGTAAGACCTCATAAATTATATTTTATGATAATCTCGCTTAAAACATTTCTCTCCATCTACTGTATAGGAAAAGTATTACAATTTTTGAACAAGAGATGCGTTAAATTACAGAAAACATTGGAGTAAAATGTCAATTTTGCGACTTACAAGGTTCTGATTTGTGACTTTCGATATGTTAAAAATTCTAGACGAGGCACTATTTATGACTAATATCTAAAAATTGGACATGAAAGAAAACAAGATGTTTGTATCCACTTTATATCTAAATGAATTGAGGATTTCTGATTGGTACTCAAAAACTATTAAGGTATCATACCTTCTGCTGTTGTTTCCAATAATAACAAGACATTTATTTGTTCAGAGTCAGCTATGGATATAAAGGCTTAACTAAATTTTTTAAGGTCCTTCCTAAAATGGTACTAATAATTGTAGAAAAAATTCTCTAACCTCTATAGAATATACAAGGAAAAATGTATAGATGATCAGAAACATCTCTTAAGAATCTCTTAAGAATAAAAAAAAAAACATTGCCAATATTTACAACTGTGAGTTGTTTGACGTCATGTTTGCAGGGGTTTTTAACTAAATCGTTACAGATTACACTTCCTGATGGTCCAGTTCCAGGTCCAGTACTACCTTGCGGTGCCGCTAGTTGTCAGTCTATATATTAAATATGAATGCATAGGAAAACAAAATTCGAGGCTATTGTAGAGAAAAATGGGTAAAAATAATCAATTTTATTTTCTAATTGCATATTAGACTGTAATTTTTAATTCCTTCAACTTTTCCAGGTAACAATTTTTAAAAATGGTCAATAAAATGTATTTACTTTTACACAAAATCACTTTTTTTTGACAAACCTTGTATAAGACTGAAAAAATTGTATATCTTTTAAATTTTTGACCATGAAGAACTTTTTTTCATAAAATTATATTGATAAAAAATATTTCCTTATGCTGCGAACTTTATATTTTATGGTTTATCAATGGTTCCCGAACTATTTTAGTCAATGGAGACCATATTAGTACCTAAATGTGAAATTTTGTTATAAAGTAACACATACTGTTTTGCTTGCCATAATTAATGGACCCACAAATTATTTGGACCAGTTTCGTAAAACAAAAATAATTCACCGATATCATATTCCCGATTAAAACTGTCAAATTTGAAATCGATTAATAAGAGATTGTTACAACTTTTTGACTTTATCTTTTTTCGGTACTACATTTTACTAAGACAAATATGATCCAAATAATCTGTGGTTATTCTATGACGTATGAGTTATGGTCAGAGGTGGACAATTATCAAAATAAATAATCGATTATTGAAAATATTTTCCATTTTTTAATTAATCGATTATTTTCGCTTAATCGTAGTATTTTATATTAATCAATTATTTTTAAAATATCAATAGTAAATCGAATATTTTCAATTAATCGTTTATTCAATTAGTCGATTATTTTCAACTAATCGATTATTTAATTAATTGATAATAAAATATTTCCGATATTTCAATTAATCGATTATTTTAAAATAATCGATTATTCTCGCTTTATCGAGTGTATTATTTTCAAATATTTAATAAAAAGTCGATTATTTTCAAATAATCGATTATTTTCAACTAATCGATTAATTAATTAATCAATTGTCGATTATTTAATTATTCAATAATTGAATATTTTCGATTTTTCAATTAATCGATTATTTTTGACTAATTGATTATTTTCGTTTAATCGATTGTATTATTTTAAATTAATCAATTATTTTCAAATATTCAATAAAAAATCGATTATTCTCGATTAATTATTCTTGCTTAATTGTATTATTTTACAATAATCAGTTATTTTTAAATAATCAATAGAAAAGATTAATTTCGATTTATCTACTATTTATGATTATTCGATTAATTTAGATCAATCGATTAATTGAAAATATGTATGTTCGATTATTCAATTAATTTATTGTTTTCCATTTTTCAATTATTGGATTATTCAATTATTTTCAATTAATCGATTATTCAATTATTCAATCAATAAAAAATTGATTATTTTCAACTAATCGATTATTCAATTAATCGATAATTGATTATTTTTGATTTCTCGATTAGTCATTACTTTCGATTAATCGATTGTATTATTTTACATTAATCAATTATTTTTAAATAATCAGTGGAAAATCAATTATTTTCAATTAATCGATTATTCAATTATTCGAAAATTTTCAATTAATCGATTATTTTTAATTAATTAATTATTTAATTATTCGATAATTAACTATTTTCAATTATTTTTTATTAATCGACTATTTTTGCTTTATCGATTGTATTATTTTACATTAATCAGTTATTTTCAAATAATCAATAAAAAATTGAATATTTTCAACTAATCGATTATTCAATTAATCGATAATTGATTATTTTAGATTTCTCGATTATTTTCGTTTAATTCATTGTATTATTTTACAATAATCAGTTATGTTCAAATAAACAATGGAAAAATCGATTATTTGTAATTAATCGATTATTCAATTATTCGAAAATTTTTAATTAATCGATTATTTTTAATTAATCAATTATTTAATTAATCAATAATTAGTTATTTTCGATTGTTCAATTAATTATTTTTGATTAATCGATTCTTGCTTTATCGGTTGTATTATTTTATTTTAATCAGTTATTTTCAAATAATAAAAAATTTAATATTTTTAACTAATCCATTATTCAATTAATCGATAATTGATTATTTTAAATTTTTCGATTATTTTCGCTTAATCGATTGTATTACTTTACATTAATCAGTTATTTTCAAATAATTAATGGGAAATCGATTATTTTCAATTATTTGAAGATTTTTTATTAATCAATTATTTATTTAATCGATTATTTTCGCTTAATGGATTATTCTCGCATAATCGATTGTAATATTTTACATTAATGAGTTATCTTCAAATAATCAATAGAAACGATTAATTTCGATTATTTTTGATTATTCGATTAATTTTGATCAATCGATTAATTAAAAATAAATATGTTATGTTCGATTATTTAATCAATTCATTATTTATTTCCCATTATTCAAATAATGGATTATTTACGATTATCGATTTTTCTGAAATAATCGATTATTTTCTCCACCTCTAGTTATTTAAAATTTCTATATTGTTAAGAATTGGCCACATACATTTGGGGAACCACTGTAATATCTTAATTCTACTGTAAAATCTTTTTTTACAAATGGTGTACCAACTTTTGCATACAGATTATAATAAAAAAATCGTTCTTAGCGATTTTGTTTTGGGAACAATTCAAGAATAATAATTAAGAGAGAATAAATATGCATTTCTTGCTACAAAGAAATCATTTGTTTTTTGATTATCTACTTTAACCATTCAAACAATAGAAGGCGACCATACAGATGTACCATCCATTACACGATATTATTTTACCTTTTCTGCATATTTTCGGACTTTCCCCTATTCTACAATGGCGTATTAATGTCACAAATGTTATAAAAAGTTAAACTTTTAAAAAACAAATAAAAATTTTGAGAAATTATGTCGGAAAATTGACAATATAAAGAATAACTATTTTTTCAAGTTTCTGACCTTTTTCTAAAAATTTTGACTTGATTTCTCAAAATATATTTTTTTAATAAAATATTTTCTTTGGTGCTCCAAAACGGCTTTTTACTATCCCGTTCCACTGTCTCAACTACACTAATTATTCCAGTTGTTATTATACAAATTGGGATAAAAAATATGTTGGGACAAACCAGAAAATTATTGATAATTAGATTAATAATATAATCGACCAGACTTCGAGAAATTCTTTTGAGACCAGAAAATTTACATCCTCCTCCCTCCATATCTAATTGTCCCTGCTGAATTGTTAGATGTATTATGACCTAATGCATTAAAATATAGGAGTATTTTCGATTCTTCTTAGACACCATACAAACCGAGGTACAACCAACCATCAACGAAATTAAAATTTATTTAAATAGTCTTTGATAATTTATGTATAAATATTTTCGACACGTTCTAAAATTGGAAATATAAAATTAAAACACAGTTCATATTATAAAAAAAGTAATTAACAAACCAAGACCTGTCAATTCTTAAAATCGATTAAGTCAATTCAAATTTAAAAACAGAAGAAGTACGGCATATCTATCTATTGCTTGGATTGATAAATAGATATATCCACCTCCCTATCAATGGTAGTGCACCTCTATGGAGTTACGCAACCAATCAGCAGGGGGGTGGGCGTGACCTCAGTAAGCCGAAGCTTCTTTGTATTCCGATCCTTCCATTGTAAAGAAGTCTTCCAGTTTCCATTGAAGAGTCTCGAAGGTGGGTCTTCGCATGGGATCTCTGTTCCAGCATTCTAACATTATATCGTAGAGCGCTGGCGGGCAGCTAGGTGGCGCTGGCATTCTGTAGCCGTGCTCGACTTGATGAAGAACTTCGGCGTTAGTCATTCCTGGATACGGGATCCTTCCGTACGTGACCAATTCTGTCAGTAAAATACCAAACGACCACACGTCTGACTTGATTGAAAATTTGCTATAGTTCGCCGCTTCTGGTGCCGTCCACTTAATTGGGAATCTAGCTCCTACTCTAGCTTCGTATTCGTCTTCCTATAATCAAAATAAGAAGGAACAATAAAATCAACATATAGACTGAAAATGGTGTATCTTACATAATTAAAACATGAAGTGAGGCAAAAATTAAACGAGCCCTGATTAAAAACTATTTCACTTGCACCAAAAATAACATGAGCTTCCTTTCATCTCACTCAAAGCTGACAAATTCAAAAAGCACATACTTTGTTACACGGAAAAATCACACAGGTTAGGTAAATTAGTTATTTTTTTTAAATATTCAATATTGTTAGTAGTTATTTAATGCCAACAATATTTTTTCCAGTCGCTATCTGTATATATCTGTAAGGTGGGGAGAGTGGGTTGTCCCATAGCACTTAGGACTCATAAGGCACAGGGATATATAGAACTAGCCTCTCAACTTGTCAAAACCTGCTAATTGTCGCTGAGAGGTGCCCAAAGACAGCCATCTTCTCAGGTAGTCAGTTCTGTAGGTTATCAACTCGTCAAAAATATGCTGGTTGATGCTGAGGGGTGTCTATAGACAGCCGTCTTCGCAGCTCAACTCAGCCTGTCAAAATGTTGCAAGTTATTGACTCGTCAAAAATCTACCGGTTGTCGCTGGAGGTATCTAGGGATAGCCAATGTCTCAGTTCAAAATCCAGCGCGTTACTGACTCATCAAAAATCTGCTGGTTCTCGCTGAGGGATGTACAGGGATAGCCAACATCCCAAGTAAACATCCTGCATTGTTGACTCATCAAAAACCTTCTGGTTGTCGCTGTGGCGTGTAGAGTAATAGCCAGCCTCTCAGGTCAAAATCCTGCGGTTTATTGATTCATCAAAAACTTGCTGGTTATTTTTGAGAAGTATCAAGGGATAGCCAGCTTTTCAGGTCAGAGTCCTGCGGGTTATTGACTCATCAAAAACCTACTGGTTATCGCTGAGAAGTATCAAGGGATAGCCATCCTCTCAGGTCAAAGTCTTGCAATTATTGACTAATCAAAAACCTGCTGGTTTTCGCAGTGGTGTGCAGAGTAATAGCCAGCCTGTCAGGTCAAAGTTTTGTGCTTTATTGACTTATCAAAAACCTGCTGTTGTCGCTGGGGGGTGTCTAGAGATAGCCTGCTTCTCAGGTCAAACTCCTGCGGATTATTGACTCATCAAAACCTGCTGGTTGTCACTGGGTAGAGGTCGAGAACTATCGAATACTATCGATATTTTTCATGAACTATCTATCGATAGTATTCGATAGCGCCCTAACCTACAAAATTAGAAGAAGTAGAATCCATTACCTTAGCGTCTGTTTGTGTAAATTAAAATCTATTTTCGCAAAACAGAAAAAAGTGAAAAGGAAAAACGTTTTCTCAAGAGGCAATTAATTCGTGGTCATTGTGTATTATTTTTGGGTGTCATTTTCAAACATGAACAATTTAATTCATGTTTGTAACTATTAGATATTTGTAACAATGGAAAGATTCTTGTTTAATAAAGGCAAAGGTAAGCAGTATTAACATTATTTTTGTGATTAGTATAAACGTTTTATAAAACAAGTTTGTTTTTTGTCTAAAATTTAAATTATTTCATACCGGAAAAACTATCGGAAACTATCGATAATTCATATCGCAACTATCGATAGTTTCGACCTCTATCACTGGGGGTGTCTAGGAATAGTCTGCCTCTCAGGTCAAAGTCTTGCAGGGTATTAACGTCGTCAAGAGGTGTCTAGATGCCCTATTTTTGGGAAGTGGCCATTTGGTGGGCTTTTATCACCCCGATATCAGATATTAAACGCCCAGATGAACATATTCTATCTACTCGATCCAAAGGGCAATTCAAGTCGCTTTTTACGTGTTTTTTGTCACGCCGCTGTTCCTCTTCCACCTTCTTGTTTCAGGGGTAAGATATCCTGGACGAATAAATCTCATAAAAGATGGTATCATCTGGAGGGGAATTCCAGTATTGTAAAAGATTCATTTCAAAAAAGATAGACACTCCAACTAATTTCACTATATTATTAGATTGTTAGTAATGTTAATTTTAATTCTTAAAATTAAATCTTGTTTTCCTGCTTCTACCAATAGAATTTCACCTTAGTTCTTTATTCTTACCCACTGGGCGTGACAAGAGATGATGTTTTAGATTTCGAAACCAGTCACTTCAAAAACAAATAAATATTGAGAGGTATAAAGGACTTTATTCTACCCATAATTTAATAATTCAACACATACAATGGCTACCACAAGTTTAAATTACTTTTTTGAAACTTTTGCCAATAGAGCCAAATTGTATTAACAGCTTCAAATTAAAATATCCGGCAATAAACATAATATGACAACTCTGCAGCGCCTATAATACAACACAAAATTACTAAAAGATGAAAATTAATGAGAGGATAACCGGCTCAGAATACCGGAATTGCCAGTTTTGCCAATTAGACGCAAAAAGTATCATTTTTGCTTTTTCAGTATTTCTTTTGTGTTTTTCGAGATTTATACCTACAAAGGCGAAATAATAATGCAATTATATGTTCCTTTTTTGTTGTTCAAAACAATCGAATACATTTTTAGGAAAACTCGACCAGTTCAGTTGGTTCAACAAGATGGCATGCAGGACAACTATAAAAAGTATATAGAAGCGTGGATATGTAGTAAATAGTGGACAAAGGAAAAGAAGCAAAACGTTAGATGAAATGAAAGAATAAAACTATAAAACACGAAAGGGTGGATATACAAGTATTAGAAATTAAAAATTTTAAAAAACCGACTTCAAAATCGTGCAGATTCCATCACCACATCTTAACCAAATTTATATGGGACCACCCCTGAGGTACCCCATTTCTAACAAAAAAAGAATCATATAAATCGGACAAGGTGGTAAAGCATTATCGCTAAACATACATAAAAAATCTGATGTGTCCAACACATGACTTTCCTATCTAATTATTATAGGCATTTTCCGGTTATTTTGTACAACCTATTGCAGCATCTCTATAAATGTTTAGAGGATAAACTAAATATATACATTTTACACATACATCTACCTCGAAACATTTTTTTATAGATATTCATTGAAAACGAAAATACAGAAAAATTTAAATTAAGCACTTTTCCATTACGGTCCATTTTAGACAAATCATGTATAAACAAAAATTATAGAAATCGATATCGCAAACAACTTTTAGTTCAACAATTTTCATAAAAATCAGAATTTTGCACATTTTGTCAAATTTCTCGAATACGCACCATTTCAGAAAATTTTGACATGAAGCAAAAATTATAGATAAAAATATTAGAAGTAACTTTTATTTAAACAATTTTCTTCTCCAAACATAAATAACGAGATATATTCCATAAAATATAAAAACGGCCTCCCATAAAGTACCCCCCCAGATGTTCCGACTTTGTCCAAAATCTAATCATTTCACGTCAGGCCGAAATAAACCTTAAGTTTAAAATTTAATGTTTTTTCCTTTATCCGTTTTTGAGTTTTCTTCAAATTTCGAAATTTACACATTTTCTCAAATATCTCGAATACGGTCCATTTTAGAGAAATTATGTATAGGACAAAAATTATAGAGAATTATATTACAAACAACTTTTATTTGAACAATTTTTATAAAAAATTATTTTTTTTACATTTTGTCAAATTTCTCGAATACGGACCATTTTAGGAAAATTTTGCATAAAACAAAAATTATAGATAATTATATTAGAAGTAACTTTTATTTGAAGAATTTTCTTCTCCGAACGTAAATAACAGATATATTCCATAAAATATAAAAATGACCACCTATAAAGTACCCCCCCAGATGTTCCGACTCTGCCCAAAATCTAATCAGCTCATTGGACGCTGAAACAAAGCTTAAGTTTAAAATTTTGTGTTTTTCTGTGTATCGGTTCATGAGTTATGCGTTATACAGACACACACACAGACACACACACACACACAGACATCATCGCGAAAATAGTCAAAACGGATTCAGGGGACCTCAAAACGTAAAAATCCGTCGAAAACTCGAGGTCGAAAAAAATCATGATTCCTATACTTTCCTTATATCTGTATACAGATAGGAAAGTAAAAATGAAGAGTTTGAGGATTTTTTCAAGGCCCAATTATTAGATTTTGACCAAATTTATATGGGACCACCCCTAAAGTACTTCCTTTCTAACAAAAAAGAATCATTGAAATTGAACACGGTGTTAAATAATTATCGCTGAACATACATTAAAGAAAAAATTATTGGAAGGAAAAAGGAGTGGATTATTGAACACACGACAAAAATGAAACTTAATCAGCTTTGGAATAAAAAAGGAATGAATAAAAATATGACTTTGTTTATTTTTATTTGAATTTATATGAATTTGTTTTCATTTATTTTTTTTTATTTATTTTTTTTTTATTTATTTTTATTTGTCGGGACATCGAGATATATCGTTGTCAACGTGTTGAGACATCCAAATTTCTTGTTTTTTTATCAATTATTCGCTCCTCATATTTTTCATGCCATGGCGAGACACAACAAATTTTACTTACGACAGATGGAAGAAAGGAAGACACCAAAGAATAATGTAAAAAAAATCCAAAATAGAACCTAACCAAATGAAAAAAACGCACATTTTATATTTTTTAATGTTATTGACTTACTTTTATTAATCTAGCTAATCCAAAATCGGCAATTTTGACTACGTTCCCATCGGCTACCAGAACATTTCTAGCGGCGAGGTCCCTATGTATATAATTTTGAGATTCTAAATACGCCATTCCAGCGGCAATCTGCGCAGCCATATCAATCAATGGAGTCAGTTTCAAACTCTTTCCTTTGCCTTGAAGGTATTCTAATAGGGAACCGTTTCTCATCAGTTCTGTAATAATATAGATCGGTTCTTCGAACGTACAAACGGCGTACAATTGAATTAATTTAGGATGTCTTAGTTTCTTCATAATTTGCGCTTCGGCGAGAAAATCTTTGGGGTCCATGGTGCCAGGTTTTAGCGTTTTTATCGCTACCGGCGTCGTGTTGTTCCACATACCTTCCCACACTTCCCCGAACTGGCCGTGGCCTAATTTCCTAACGAATTTTAACGATGTTCTTTCGATTTCCCATTGATCGCGGGTACGATGAGAAAGGCCTTCGGGTTGGGGTTTATCCACCTAGAACAAAAACAAAGTTAAATAGCAAATACCAGAAATTAATACAATCTATGTAAAATAAAAAAAAAAAAAACAAATATTGCAGTATCTACAACTGAAACATGAAACATCGTTTTGATGGTAAAAAATAACAAAATGATTAAAAAAAAAATAGAATGAGTAAAAAAAATTATATTAACAATATCTTACCTGTACACAAGGTTTGCATAAATTGACGCATAAACCATCGGCATCATTACTATAATGCTGTACTAGTTCTTGTAATGTTCTAAATGTAGTTCGCCTAGCTATGAAGAAACCACCCTCGTCCAATTGTCTAATCCTATAATGTTTAACGGTATCTCCATCTCGAACTGAAATAAAGTAATTATTGTTTATTAAAAATATATATTATATATTATTTATAGGTAAATAATAATTATAATGAACCAGTTACTGTTACCAATGAGCAGTCAATCTGGCTATACGGTAGTACTGTTAAAATCAAAAGTGTAAACCGTGGTAAGCTGAAGTGAAGAGACAACAACTTTTCACAAGAGCTCTGGTGACACATACTTCGATTTTTTTCTTACGATTTTTTTCTTACTATACGGAGAATGATCGCAAAGCGCAGCTTTCTGAGTGCCTTTTAAAAGGAGATAGAAAACTCCGCCACTGAGAAAATAGCCCCCTCTGCTAAATAGTATATCAGGAACAGAAAATGACCTGTAATATTTAATTTTTTTATTTGGTACAGTAGACCTCGTAACAATTTCAGATAAATGGAAATTTCTGAAAAGCAAAAGTACCACTGATCCAGGCACATTGATTTTGTATGTTAGACATACAATTATGAAAGTAACAAAAATGTCTTTTAGAGCCACCGTATGTCAACATCCTTTATACAATATAGAATATTAATGGCAGTAATACCCACAAGAGTGTTTCCTTGAATAGAAAATATTTAGCAATTTCTTCCTGTGTAACAACTGAAAGAAGACTCATTTGTAGATGAAAAATACATCTGTTATTTCAGAATCAAACATCAAGTACCAGAACAACTTTTTAAATTGAGCCAAATTATGACCTTCAAGAAATATTTGAACAAGAGCAACCATCATTATATTGTTTTTGGTACATAGTTTTGTAATGTGCAAATAAGTTGTAAACTGAGAAGATTAAGAAATAATCTAGCTATTCTTCATCTTCTTAGGATCAATGTTGAATATTCATAAAATAAAGACATTTTACTATTACTTTCAAAATATCATACAGTTTTTTAATGAAACCCTACTCAATCCTAAATACATTTTTTTTTAAACTAATCTTGACTTTTAATATTAGGCAGTTTTGGAAGACGTAATTGATTTATTTGAAAATAAACACAATTTAAATATAATTTCACATTCCTAGGTACACAATCATAATCTGCATATATTACTAGAAATCATCTGTCTTTTTTCTAACTATTGTTAAATTGTATAAATAAACTTTTGAGTTTGAATGTACAAGTCGAATTGTGTGGTACCTATTCCAGTTAATTCAGTAGTCTATATTGAATTGTTAAAGATATTTTATTGTATATTATTACTTTTGCTAATAAATTATTGATCCATAGCCACTTTAAGGAGGAATTACATTTATGTTCAATGAATTATGACACGCTGACTATAGACCTTTAATTTTGTTAAATAATATATTTTATTTCTTGACTCATTTGTAAAAGTACATAGGGGAGTAGGGACACATTTAACATTTTTGTAGTAGGTATAATTATGATGTGTATTGTAAATAAAAAAAAAACTATTTGTGACTGTTATACACATAATTTCAAGTAAAAAAAAACAACATAAAAATATTACTGAAATTAACATCAAACTCAAAATATTTATTTTCAAAATAAAGTAGCTATCTAATAATAATAATGTTTATTTGTCAATAAAATATAAACATTTAAATAATATAACTATAAGGATTGCATCATCTCACTGTGTTCTGTATAGGTACATCACGAAAATTTAAAACATTTTTAGGAAACATAAAAAAACCTTTCATTGATATATATGAATCATTGGATTATATTTAATTCACACAAAAAATAAGAAGGTACATAAATATTCAAAAAGAGAGAATATTTGAAAATAAATACATAATTAAATAAATAGTAATCAATATAAAATATATAATTAAACCGCAAAAATAATTCCATACATCAAAAAATATTGTTAATTTTATATTTACATTTAAAAAAAATAGAATAAAAGATTTTCGGCAAATTGGAATTTTATTCGTAAAATAACTGCTTGTTCCAACATACAGTATGGTTCAAATGAAAGGAATAAATTCATTATAATGGAAGTAGTTGGTTTTTCGAAAAAATGTTCGGACAGGTCAATTTTGTTTACTTAAAGCGCAATTTTTTAAATAAAATTCAATTTTCCCCCACTTCCCATTTTTGGGCAGTGACGTCATTGACAATTTTTTTAAATAGCAACCCCAATTTTTTTTTCGTGATTTTGATAGATCTTGCAATTTCCTACTCGGAAACATAATATTTGAAATATCTGACATAACAATTTTTTTTGAAAAAAAGTCATTTAAAGATCAGATACATAAATTTTATGTTATTTTGAAACACATTATTTTTATTATTATTTTGTTAGATTAAGCATTTAATTACAAATAATTATCTTTTATTCATTTATTGTGTTCTCAAAATAAAATAAAATTTATGTGTCTGATCTTTAAATGTCTTCTATTCAAAAAAAATTGTTATGTAAGATATTTCAAATATTACGTTTCCGAGTAGGAAGTTGCAAGATCTGTCAAAATCAAGAAAAAAAAAATTGAGGTTACCATTTAAAAAATATTCAATGACGTCACTGCCCAAAAATGGGAAGTGGGGGAAAATTGAATTTGACTTGCGCTTTGAGTAAACAAAATTGACCTGTCCGAGCATTTTTTCGAAAAACCAGCTACTTCCATTATAATGAATTTATTCCTTTCATTTGAACCATACTGTATGGTTGTTAGGGCTCGTATTAGTGAATGTGAATTAAAATAATTAACTGTTAAAAAAATATAAACGTAATAATATTGAATTTTTTTACCTGAAAGGGAATAATCGTTATGTCGACTCTCGGAGTCTCTGATAAGAAAAGCTCCATGTTCATTTTCGGGAAGTAATAGTTTCTTCTCGGCTTCTATGCGCTTTATCTTGCGGAAATACCATCTGAAAATAACAAAAAAAAAAACGTTATAAATTATTCATTAGTCGTAAGTGATTTCCATTATTGTAAAACTCGTTTGAGCTGAAAACGCGTAGTCTGAGCAGGTACAAGATAAAATTCAATGAACAGTTTTTTAATGCATACAAGAATATCGACAGATGTGAAAAAACTATCAACGTCAATGTGTAAGTTAATTAAAATTAATTCAAAGCTTGTAAGAAATATAACAATCGTATGTATAATCAATCAACTTAATTATTAATAATAATTATAAAGTAAAATTTCATGTTAATACTGAATTATCTACGGAATATAAGTAAAGTTTAAAAGTCTAGTTTTATTACGTCAATGATCTAGGTAAGTACTGTTATCGGGATATGTTTTAATCATAGACATAATATGGAGTGGTTTCTAGAAGACACTGGAAAAATTTTCATATGTTGGATCGTTTAATTCTTCTTTTTTTTCAAGTAACACGGACTTACTCGTATCACTGTTTTTGTCGGTCATAGTGTCATGGACTACTTTAGAAAAAAAATTTGTGGATCACTTTTTATTATTTAAAATAGACTCGCATTCACAATATTTTGCCCGCATCATGAATCCGACAGGGAAAGGAGTAAGGTATTACTACTGTTTCGGGAGACATTAATTACAATATTAAATATATTCTATATACAGGGTGTTTCTTAATTCATGCGAAAAAATTCAGGAAGTGATTGCTCCTATGAAATTATGATTGGTTTTTCCTATAACAAAATTTTCTCAGCCCAGGAACTTGAAAATTGGAATTTAAGGTTCTCATCATAAATAAATAAAGTATTTCAGGGTTTTTGCATTTTAACATTTTAAGGGGGAAATGGGGGGTGAAAATTTGTATATATTTTTTTATTATTTAAAATTTGAATTACAGCTACTGTTTAAAAATAAAAATGATGTGTTTCATGGTTTTTGGAGTTTCACATTTCAAGGAATGAAAACGGGGTTGAAAATTTGTATAGAAGTATACATTTTTTGAACGTTGGAACTTGAAAATTATAATTGTAGCATAAATAAATAATGACGTGCTTTGTGATTTTTAGATTTTTGTATGGTAGTATCATAAAAATAAACTAAAATTAAAAAAATATAATTATTAAAAATTAATAAAAATTAATAAAAATCATTAAATATTTTCAATAAAAATTAATAAAAATAAATACAAATTAATACAAATGAATAAAAATTAATACAAATGAATAAAAATGAATAAAAATAATTAAAAATGATTAAATATAACTAAATATGAATAAATATAAAAAAATTGAATAAAAATGAATGAAGATCAATAAAAATTATTAAATATTTTCAATAAAAATTAATAAAAATTAATAAAATTATTAAAAACTAATAAAAATAAATACAAATTAATACAAATGAATAAAAATTAATACAAATGAATAAAAATTAATAAAAGTGAATAAAAATAATTAAAAATGAGTAAATATAACTAAATATGAATAAATATAAAAAAATTGAATAAAAATGAATGAAAATCAATGAAAATTATTAAATATTTTCAATAAAAATTAATAAAATTTATTAAAAACTAATAAAAATTAATAAAAAAGGAACTCGTGTATTTTTTTATATTAATAACACGACTACATGCGAGCAAAGTCGCAAACAAAGCTGCAGGCAACAGCTAGTAAATTATATAACATTCAAATCTTGATAACATATACTCGTTCAGTAGGTGTTCTGAATCAAAGGCGAATTTGAATAAAAAATCAGATATCGTTCTCGTAAGCTGTAAAGCATAGTTAAATGTCACCTGGTAACGTTCCAGCACTGTTGTCGTTATTCAAGTTTATCCAAATTTATTTAAACAATAATCTTATTGACGAAAAAAAATCTGATGTGTCCAACACATGACTTTCCTATCTAATTATTATAGGCTTTTTACGGTTATTTTGCACAACCTATTTATTGCAGCACCTCTATAAATATTTAGAGGATAAACTAAATATATACATTTTCCCATACATCTACCTCGAAATATTTTTCTATAGATATTCATTGAAAACGAAAATACTGAAAAATTTAAATTTAGCACTCTTCCTCCAATTTTTACATTACGGTTCATTTTAGAAAAATCATACATACACAAAAATTATAGATAATAGTATTAGAAGTAACTTTTATTTGAACAATTTTCTTCTCCAAACATAAATAAGAGACATATTACATAAAATATAAAAACGGCCTCCTATAAAGTACCCCCCAGATGTTCCGACTCTGCCCAAAAACTAATCAGTTCATTGGATGATGGAATAAAGCTTAAGTTTAAAATTTGGTGTTTTTCTGTGTATCGGTTCATGAGTTATGGTGGATACAGACAGACAGACAGACAGACAGACAGACAGACAGACAGACAGACAGACAGACAGACAGACAGACAGACCGACGGACGGACGGACGGACGGACGGACGGACGGACGGACGGACGGACGGACGGACGGACGGACGGACGGACGGACGGACGGACGGACGGACGGACGGACGGACGGACGGACGGACGGACGGACGGACGGACGAACGGACGGACGGACGGACGAACGGACGGACGGACGGACGGACACACACAGACATCATCGCGAAAATAGTCAAAACGGATTCAGGGGACCTCAAATGGTAAAAATTCGTCAAAAACTCGAGGTCGAAAAAAATCATGATTCCTATACTTTCCTTATCACAGACTTAAGAATAAGTGGTAGAATTACTTTATTTGCTGATGACACCAGTGTAACCTGGAATAATTCTAACATGCAGACATTACAATCTATCATAAGTGAAGATCTAGTGACTATTAAGTCCTGGTCTGATTCGAATGGACTTTGTTTCAACACCAGTAAAACTGTAGCATTGTCTTACAGAGGTACTTTACAACCTATAACTTTAAACAATAATCTGATCCAAACGGTGACTTCAATCAAGTTTTTAGGTCTTTATATAGACGATTCTCTAAAATGGTCTGCTCATATAGACCTTAGCAAAAAAATTATCCTCCGCATGTTTTGCCATTAAATCGGTTTCTAAAGAGCTGACTCCTTCTACTGCATTAATAACCTACTTTTCCTTATTCGAATCTCACCTTTGCTATGGTTTACCTTTCTGGGGTTCTTGTAGCTTATACCTTTTCGAATCTATTTTTAAACTGCAAAAAAGAGCAATCCGCTATGTATTTGGTTTAAGTAGTAGGACACATTGCGAAAATTACTTCAAAAATTTCAAAATTCTAACCCTTCCTGCTCTATTTATTTTCGAATCCGTCTGCTTAGTTCGCAAGCACATTAAAAATTTATCCGAAAGACCGACTCGTAGATATCCTACAAGAAATTTAGAGACTGATGTTTATTTAACAATGCCCACTTCTGACCTATTAAAACATTCCATTACCTACAATGCCAAAAAATTGTATAATAACCTTCCGATGCAATTAAAATCTATAAATACATACGATAAGTTCCGAAGACTGGCTAAAGCTTTTCTTCTAGAAAGACCATATTACACAGTAGCAGAATTTTATAACGTACCTTAGACATTTGAGTTCCACATACAATGGCATTAATTAAATAATTAAATATTAAAGTTTAAATTTAAATTTAAAAATTAAATTAGAATAATTATAACGACGGATATTGCATATCCATTGCAATTGTTATTCCTATTTTGTGTGTTTGTTTCTGTTTGTTTTTTCTGCTGTTTAGTTATTTTTATAATATGTTTAGTATTTAAGTTACACGTTTTACGACAATAAAGCATCTCTCTCTCTCTCTCTCTCTCTCTCTCTCTCTCTCTCTCTCTCTCTCTCTCTCTCTTTTATATCTGTATACAGATAGGAAAGTAATAAAAGATGTGTCTAAAAAATATAGCAGAATTGTATACAACGGTCAAAAATAAATATAGAATGACAACAAATTTTAAACTTAAGCTTTATGGTGTGTTGATTAGATTTTGGGAATAGTCGTAATACCTGGGTGTACTTTATTGTGGTAATTTTTTTACTTTATGTAATATATCTGTTATTTATGCTTGCAGAGGAAAATTCTTTAAATAAAAGTTGCTTGTTATATTATTCTCTATAAGTTTTGTTCTATGCATAATTTGCCTAAAATTGAACGTATTTGAGATACTTGAAAATGAGCAAATTTCGAATTTTGAAGATAATTCAAAAACGGATAAAGAAAAAACCTTAAATTTTAAACTTTATGTTCAATCCATCCTGCGGTGATCTGATTAAGTTTTGGGCATAATCTAAGCATCTGGGGGGTACTTAATAAGATGTCGATTTTTTCCTCTAAAAAATATCAATTACAGTCTGTTCGCTATACTTACGCGGATTAATTAATTAATTATTTGTAACAAATTTAGTACCTACCCTAATGTTATTTTAATTTAAATCTGACCATTAGGGCAATTCTACCTAATTTCTTGGAAAGAGGCTTATTGGAACTGGTTGTCAATGACTAATTTGCATAATTTTGTTAATCCGAAACCCGCGTAAGTATAGCAAACAGACTATATTTACGATTGCCAACGAAAATACTGAAAAACTAAATTTTACATTTTTCCTCAAATTTTTCCATTACGGTCCATTTTAGAGAAATCATGTATGAAATAAAAATTATAGAGAATCATATAGCTTTTACTGCGCTGACGTGTTCGGGATATAATCTATCACTTGTCATAAATCCGGTTAAAAACTCGCAACCATGCGCAGGCAACCAATATTTCGTACATAAATACAAACTTTTGTTTACATTTTATCGAAGTAGTTTTTGTAATACATTCACAGCTTAAAAAACGGAAAATTTGGAAAAAAACAAAAGTAAATTTTTAACGTTATCTGAGAAGTAGATAACTTTTTTGAACCAGTGTTATTTACCAAAATATTAATATTTTGAGGTCTTGAATCTATGATTAAAATATTCCTTGTATAAAAAATTGAAATATATGAAAT